TCTTTTCTTGAAGTTACTGATTGATACATTATATTTCAAAAAGATTGCCGTTACAAGAATAAGGCCTCAACAGCAGCCATATTGCTCAGGAATGTGACCACGTGATCCACTGCAGTTTACGTGAATTTGAATGCATTTCTTGTCAAAGGGTTTACTGTGACAAATACAGTGAGAGTGGAAATATTTAAGTATAAACTGCTACGCAGATTTATACAGTGTACACAGGTTTTTTCTGTTTATACATAGTTAAACTGAAAAAACATTCAGGTCATTCCTTAAATATATCCTTACTTTATACAAGGCCTTCTACATGAGTCTTTTTTTGTTGGTTTGATAAGGATATTGAGCATTTATATTTTAGGCTTATTCTAAAGGTACAGAATTATGTATATCAGGTACATTACTAACATTTTCCTGATTTCATCAGACATCCCTTGTCCAGCAACTGTTAAATTTACCCCCCCCCCCCCCCCCACCCCTTTTGTAAAGGCTTTAATCCCTTTACAAGCAACCAAATACAACATTTACATTTTCTAACAATATTATTTTCTTGTAATCTATCCTCTAAAAAACAAATCAATTGACTTGATTTACTTCTCCAGAATATTATCTCTACCCAAACAGGAACTTTAACATATTTCACAAATAACTTCCTTTCTATTGCCTGAAAATAAAATTTTATTTTATTAAGTTAATAATGGTTGTAAAAGGAAATGGAAAAAATAAGAAAATAGTTAGATCAACATCCTGTAGGATTTCTTTCATGTCTGTAATTACAGACCTTTAAAATCTCATTATATTGCTTGTATTAGATATAGACATGAAACAGAATGTTACCATCCAACAGTCAATAAGCTACCAGCTAATCATTATAACTTTATACCACATTTAAATCATGTAAATCAACAAAGATTGACTGTAATTGACCAAATTTATTTGATTGACATAAAATAAATATCTCCTGTGATTTGCCCAACTATGAAAAGGGACAATTGATCTGGGTATTGATAATGTAGTTTAATAATAGGAATTATTGGAAGATTTAGGTCTAGCATAGTTTTTTTAAATCTAATTTGGACAGATATAGTCAAACTAATTCTCTATAAATCCAATGGTGTGGTAATTTCATTATCATTATTATGATGGCAAAGAATTGTGCAAAAAGCATAAGAGCTATACTAAGAAGAAAAATGTAATAATTATATTAATTTTATTCTCTGCTTCTGTTAATTGTGGACGATATATATTGGAATATAGAATTTAATTTCACATTTTATCTTTCTTCTATTTTAAGCATAAGCTCACTTAAATATTCTGTTCATATGCACAGTTTCAATATATTTGTCCATGTAGAAAAATAGTTTGTACCTTCAGTACATTTCTGTGAAATTTTGACGTATGATTTTTATACGTTTTTCCCCAAATGTGTGGCATAATGCACTAAACATGACATGACCTCGTTCATGAAAACGCTTTCAGATTTTAACTCTTAAACACTAAAAGGCATGATTCTTGTCGGATTTTGACAGAACTTGGTTTTATTATTTATATTACCATGCGGAATGTTGAATATTTGCCTTTTAGAGTTTTCAAGAGCTAAAAATTGAACATGTTTTCAAGAACAAGGCAAAAACTCATACTCAATATTATTCAGTATCGCCCAAAGTGTATGACTGAAGGTTGAATATTTCATACTAAATACGTTTTATTATAAGCTCACTTACATATTCTGTTCATATGCACAGTTTCAATATATTTGTCCATGTAGAAAAATAGTTTGTACCACCAGTACATTTCGGTGAAATTTTGACGTATGATTTTTATACGTTTTTCTGGGAGGAGAACCTTCTCATACCCTTTATGGCAGACTTGCATTTATTTCCTTCTCAGTTTGAATCTCAATCAGTTGCCAACAATTAAGTGAGTCTACCACCTATTTGTATTTGTTAATGAGTGCATATATCATTGCATGCACCCTTGTCTCCATGGATAAAAAGTGTTTATTTCAAACCTGACAATTTGATATTTTGAATACCCGTATTTATCAATAAAATATGTGTTATTTATTTTCAGAAAATGTTGAATGTATTCAAAGATGTATAACATCAGGGTTTTTTGCAAATGCTGCAAAATTACACTATAGTGGTGAATATAGAACAATTCGTGATGACCAAACCTTGCATATACATCCCACTTCAGTTTTATTTCCTGAAATACCTTCTAAATGGTAAGTTCAATCTTAGCTTTAAATCCTAAAATTCATCTAAATGGTGAGTAATTCTTAACGCAGTATTTACTCTGTAGCAAAATATTCAATTTCTGGTTCGGGCAGTTGTATACTAAGGCAATGTTCTTGTAGGGGTCATCCTGGTCTTTACTTTACCCAATTTAAAAACATATTGTTTCTTTACAAGACAGACTGGCTATTCAGTTTTCATTTCTATTTATACTTTATGGAAGATTTAAAGGGCATTTTCATTATGCTTAGATTCATAATATTGATCAATAATATAACACCTACTGATGAAACTAAACAAGAGAATAGAGATTAGTGATTGAAAGTAACAAAATGCTATTCAATAAAAGGCACTGGCACAGAGTTAGAGTATTGTTTACAACTATTGTGGTGTTAATATTTAGTAAATAAGTAAAAAAAGTAATTTTGAAAGGTAGACCGAAAAGAATAAAAATTTGATTCCGGTATATTTTCTCCTTATCTATCCAAACAATTCACTGTGAAGTATAAAGGTAGCAATTAAAGAGAATGAATACAAGTTACTATAACAACTATGATGACAGACCCTTTAATTGGCATTTTATTAATTCCCTTTTTATACGCCCACATGAATATGTAAATATAAGAAAAGTAGGCTTAACTTGACTGATTTTTTGCCATTTCAAATCCCAAATATTGGTAATCTTTGTGGAGCATTTCACCGTGGAACACTTAGCTCATTTATTACAAACTCTGAATTACACTTTACCTATTTGAAAAGTAATATGTTTTAAAATAAATGAATGGTGCAAAAACACAAATCTAATTTAAGGCTTGATTATAAAAGTGCAGATATGGTGTTACAAAATATTTGATGTAACGGTAATAGTTTGGTTTATATTCGCCCACATGAAATGGGGGGCATATATTGCCGTCACCCATGTCGGTCCGTCCACAGTTTCTCGTAAACACTCTACAAGACACAATTCTTGACAAAACTTGATATGAGTGTTCATAATCACCCAAGGATGAACTCTATTGAAAACCAGAGGAATAGAAAAGTATTTAGTATAAGTTATTGCCCTTGTCCTTGAAAATGCGTTCAATTTTGAGCTCGTTAACACTGTAGAAGGGACAATTCTTGACGAAACTTGGCGAAATTGTTTATTATCACCCAAGGATGAACCCTATCGAAAATCAAAAAAATCAAAAAATGTTTCATAGGAGTTATTGACCTCGTTCATGAAAACGTTTTCAGATTTTAACTCTTAAACACAGTCCTAACTTTTACTACCACTTGGCGGCCATTACAGCCAAAACTGGAATGTGATGGTTCATTACTCTTTGACAGATATGATACAGTCATATTGCACCTTGTCACCAATAGAAAATACCCTACTAAGAAGATACAATAACTTGACCTGTTCTTGGAACCCTGGTATTAGATTTCATGTTCTAAATTTAGTACAGAGCCCTTCTTCACTGGTTTAAATTTGAAATTTGGTTCTCTTGAGCAAAACTCTGTTTGATTTCTTTCAGAAATCAGAATCCTATAAATCAGGAATATCAACACACAAATCTGATCGCCTAAGAAACACAATTTCTATATTTGATAAAATTTTAGAATTTTTACAAAAGCTGAAAAGTTTTAGCATTCCGAAATCATAAAAAGATTGTTTGGAGGCTAACTTATTTATTCAGATAAATAGAGGTGTTCTTCAAAATTATACTAAATAATAATTCTAGCGTCTACAATTTCAATTTACTGAATACAAATTGTGTATTCAGATTGATTTCCGATAGTTTGACAGTACCCGGTAATATTTTTATGATAAAGTTTGTATAGGAAATGCATCCAAATGTCCAAATCTGTGTTCATAAAATTTTCATGTCTAAAATTGCAAAAAGATTCGTAGATGGTCGATGGGTCCTCCAGAAGGTGAAGGGTGTGAGATGTTTTTAATGGCTAACAACATTACAGTAAAATACATTTAAACAGAAACAGCAACTCATTGTGGAACATACATGCATACTGAGTAAAGCTAACGTCGCAGCGCAGGGTCTCTAGCCCAATTAAGATTTAATATTTGCCTTCTAGAGTTTTCACGAGCTAAAAGTTGAACACTTTTCTAGAACAAGGGCAATAACTCATACTCAATATTATTCAGTATCGCCCTAAAGAGTTCAAACGAAGTGTATGACTGAAGGTTGAATATTTCATACTGGTGATTGTTTCTGTACTACTAAATATTTACGTTCAAAATCAAAGCTGCTAGTGGGCGTATATTACCTTGCCTGGCAAGCTATCTTTAAATATTTAGTTTATAATAAAGTATTGAAAAGAAATCATTATTTAGTATACACTATCTGGTGGTTTGACCTCAATTTGCTCTAATAATATCAAAGACAAGGTCAGATGGTTTCAGTGTGAATACTGTTTATATAGGTTGATAGTTCTTAATATCAACTGGCTTGTGTGCGTGTCTTCCATGGATTTTAAAGTGAGTAAGCAGGGCCACATTTCTTTATCATGTCTGGCAACTGTCCAATGGCAAATAGACTGTTAACAGCACTGAACATGGCCCGTGATACTTTGCCTGATAGTTGTAAGACTTTTTTGAACTTCAAACCCTCTCTTGCCCAGTGTTGATTCGATCCACTTTAAGTAAAGAGCCAAGCTTAATGTTTTGTGTTAAGAGTGAAGCACTGGCCAAGGTATCAAATAAAGAGATAAATGTTCAATACAAGATAAGGTGAAGTTAGCATAGTTAGTATTAAGTTAAAAAAAACAACCACGAGTAATCTACAATAAACAAAAGTCTATAATATGAAAGTTTTCTTGTTACCAGTTCTAAAAGAAAAGAGTATGAATAGGTTCTGAAAAGATAAACATCTATATATAAGGATTAGAATATATTATACTTAATGAGCTAGAAAATAGAGAGGGGGGTCAAGTATTATTGGATTCAATGGGATCGAGTCTACCACGGACCAGAAAATTACTAAGGTTTTTATTGCGCTTATCGGCAATTACAAGTCGTTTGGTATATACATTCGGAAATCTGTTCTGTAATTCACTGTAATACTGTTTGACGATGGATGAGGTTTGGCAGCTGTGTGATTAAAGGTGGCAACAAATGGAATCATTTGATTATCATGCTGGATATTAAGTCCTTTTGGAGCCACTGTTTGGAGTTGGTCCATCCAGTAGCTTTCTCTCTGTAATCGTTTGGTTTTTGGTTTGATAAGATCAGAGTCAGGAATTGATTCAATAGGCATGATAAGTAGGTCTTCAATGGAATGGTCAGGTAAATTAAAATGATGAGAAATTGGTCTATTTTTGCTATGAATTATATCAAAGCGATGGCCGCTAAATCGAGTTCGCAACACGTTCTGGGTTTCGCCAACGTATTGTTTGTCACATTTTTTACACGAAATTAGGTAAATGATATTTTTATCAGTACACGTGAGACGTTCTTTAATTTCAAATATTTTTCCGTTTTTTTATTTTGAAAATAATGAGACATATGGATATGTTCACAGGTGCGACACCGAGAACCTCTACATGGTATTGCGCCAAAGTTATTTATTGGAGGAGGGGGTTCATTAATTTTCAAAAGGTCCAAAACAGTGTCATTTTTAATTTTGCGCAAGAATCGTTTGGAATAGCCCCTTTCTCTTAATTTACTGAAAACTAGTCTACAAGCTGCATCAAAATCTACTTTTTGAGTGCAAATTCTAAAAAAACGCAAAATTTGTGATTTGATTATTCCCGTAAAAGTATGTTTTGGATGAAAAGAGTTTTTATATAAAGGTTGGTGAGTATCCGTTGGTTGGTAAAAAATACTTTGATGTCTAATTTGTTTGTTTGAGAGAAACTTGGTCCTTTGAATACCGTAGTATATCCAAAAAATCCGTACTTTGTTCAGAAATATTCGCAGTTAGTTTTACAGAAGGGTGGTGATTATTTAAAATTTCAAAATATTGCCAAAAATTTGTTAAAGACTCGGTCCAAATAATAAAAATATCGTCAAGAAACCTTCCATAGAAGAAAGGTTCAAAAGGGGAAATGGAAGAAATTTCCAGTTCCCACTCAGCCATAAAGATATTTGCATAACTCGGCGCAAATCTTTTGCCCATCGCGGTGCCTGAAGTCTGGAGATAAATTTTTTCATTAAAAACAAAGTCATTTCGCTTTAGACATAATTCCAAAAGTTCTAATATTTCTTTATCGGGTCTATCTACGCAGGGATTTTGAAGAAAGGCTTTTCGGACAGCGTCTAAACCGGTTTTATTATCAATATTGGTATACACTCTCGTAACATCTAATGAGATAAATCTTGCGTTTGGAGGAACATTCAAGCTTTTCATTTTTTTCAACAAAATCGGTGGTATCCTTAAGATATGACGGATGCTTACACGCTAATGGAAGTAAAAAATGGTCAATGTATTCAGAAACTCAGTAGGATCCGCTTGCGCAATCTGAGATAATAGGCCTGCCTTTAGGAATCCTATTGGCTAAAGACCATTCAGTTTCCGGGTTTTTGTGAATCTTCGGTAAAGTATAAATGTGACGTTGACGGACTTCGGGTTTCGTTGAAAGATAATTATATTGGGAATCAGAAATAAATTGTTTGTTTACTAAAGTTTTTAAAATATTATTTATTTTTTCCGCAGTTTCCATGAAAATAGGTTGATCAAGTACACGGTAATGATTAGCATTGTTCAATTGTTTCTCTAATTCAAAAATGTAGTCTTCGCGATTCTGAATGACACAGCAACTGCCTTTGTCGCTCTTTCGTATTATAATGTTCTCATCGTTTTTTAGGCTATTCAAAGCTTTCCTTTCAAACTTGGTGAGGTTGTGTTTTTCATTCACCAAAGGTAAATGAGATATTTCTTCATGTAATTTATCGCAAGTAGCCAAAATATCTGAGTCAATCGCGCTGTCTGGTGGAGTCCAACCAGACTTTTCAATGAACGGTATTCGCTTGCCTCTGCTGAGTCTATTC